TCTTTAATGATGCATATTCTCAAACAAATATTCAAAAGGAATTAGCCCATGCTTAGCTTTCAGTGCCCCGGAGGTTCTGGACAGTTGCCAGCTTTGGCAGGTTGGTAATCCAGCCTTGATGATCAAAGCTTAACCAGTCTGTAAAACTGTGATGGATGTTAACAACAGACACGTAATAATATTAATGTTTGTTTTCTTCTTCAGATACGTTTGGACCTGGAGGTTTGCTTACAGCCTGAATGATCTGACTGGCTGCAGCTGATAGAAATTATGTCTACTTAACTATGAAATAAACTAGAATTATCCTTTACATGTAGAGCATGTTTAGTATAGTTATCATCAGGGCTGTCGTCAAGTTCAAGCTGAGATCCTGTCAAGACCCAGTACTGACAAACAAAACAGTGGCTTGTAAATATTCCTCATACAGTTGTCTTATTGTTGTTTGTAGTGAAAAACAACTGATAGCCATCATTCAGTACAGCCCTTTGGGTTTATATAAAGTTGAAATGTTGCATTATTTGCTAAAATCAAGATTAGAAATGTTATATATACAATATTAAAAGTGTTTATTGCCCAAAAAAGAGAGATCCATTGTAAACTGGAGACCAGGATCAGACTCTGTTATTACAACCATGGTTACCACAAACAAGCACAACCTTTACTGAGAAACCGGGTGTACTGAATTTTATGTGTACTACTTGTGAAGGTGGGAAAGCTGCTGGATTGCTTTGTGTCACCACACAGGAAGAGAAAATTGTCCAGAGCAAAAGCTTGAGTTTCTTGGAATGACAGATACAGGATTGTAGGGGCCTTGCCAAAGTCCACTGTAGGACACCTGCCACCATAAGCAGTCAGCCTTGGATTCAAACTGACACCCTGCTCACACACACTCTGGTGTGTTGTGCTGTTTCTGTGTATTTGCAGTGGAGCAACTTTATTAGAACAGTTGTACAGCAGAATGTCCAAAATGTATAACGTGTGCTGCAACATGACATTTTTCAGTTAGGGGCACTAAATGACCAAATAGACTTTGTTTACCCTGTGTGCATTAGTGCTTTATAACCTTCCGCTGGGGAAAGAAACTGGGAGCATCACCTTTGGTAACAGGCGTTGCAGTGTCTACATGTTCTCTTGCTATACATCTAATGATATTCAGGAGGGCAAACATATCCAGCTCTCTCGACAACGTTTCCTACTGTACCACAGGAAGTGGTGTTAATTGTCAACTTTCATACAGCCTACCTCTATAAATCTGGACCTTTATTACTCACCACTACTTGTTCATTTGCACTTTGTTGAGTTAACATTAGCAGCAATATCTGTCAGTATCGAATGTCCCACATTCATTTGGAGATTCCTTTAAAAATCCTCATGAACAGTTTTCAGTCAGGGAGCTGCGGTGTTGGTGTGTGATAGAAAATGTTACAGCCTCTCTAACTTAAAGCTTTATTTCACAAGAATTTTTGTTATATTTGTTGAAATTCTCTTTCCATCCTGACAGCAGTGAATAAATAAAAATGCTCTGATACAAACATACCTGTGGCAGGACATGGCCTTGGCTGGCCTGCCTGCACTCACTGCAAACGTGTTTTTGGGGAGTGGTTTTGGAGGGAGGCCAGAAGGGAGGGGTGGGATTTTTTATGTGCAGCTTCTGGATAGAGCCATGATCTGTTTTGAGAGCAATAACAAGAAAAACAAATGTGCACATTTAAATAAACAAGTCAGTCAAAGTCACATAATGTATTTTTTTATTTTGTGGAAGCATTTTTCAGATAAAGCTGAACCAACATGGTTGCTGCAGCAACCTGCCTTTTGGCGTTTTGGCCTGTGGTGTTTCATTGTTATCATTCTTTTTTTAAAATTTGCTTTTTGAGTCTTACAACTTTATGGAAGTGCAATATTAAATTACTGCAGTGCCTCTTTACAACACGACCATAACAACAAAATAGGTAGATTGTCAACGGGTCCCAGAACATAATATGTCTGTTGGAAAGAACCAGTCCACCGTGGGCTCTTTATACTACATCACCAAAATGGTGCTCCCATCATATGGCCACTAGAGGTCGCGGCCTAAGAAAAAACATAAATGGAGGTCGCAATAAGCTGCTTCACAAGCAACCTACGTGATTTTCTGGTGAGGACGGGCTGCTCTTCCAAGACTTTAGCACTACTGCTCTACATGCAATTACCTGTAACAAATCAAGCTGCAGTCCATTCTCATTTAACTGAAATGTTTATTCTAGTAAACAGTACAGACCATGTCGAGAGAAACACTGTTCAAAATAAACCAGCATCTGTTCCCTCCTCAGCTATTATTCTTCCAAATGGTTCTTTATCAAGTTTACTTTTTCTTCTTTCTCTTCTCTTCTGTAAGACAAATAGACCATAATATGATACTATACAGACTGTATACACATTGTATGCATTTTAATAAAGACAGTTCAGATTATTTTGCCTACATGGGAGGACGGGCAGTTGAAGGCTGAACAATTATCCAAGCATTCAAAAGGCTTTGTACGTAAATCAAATTTGAGAGAAATAACATGAATACTAAAACAATGGATTTATTAAATGGTAAATCTTGATATTTTTCAGCTGTCATCCCACACAGATTTTTTGTTTATTTAACTGCAAGCTTTGCTGATAATTACAAACTATTGAGAAATTCCCCAAAATAACAAAAGCATTTTGAGTGACTGGTTGGTCGATTCTGCTGCTAGTGGCATTAAATCAAAGCATGAACTTCCTCGACAAAGTCGGGACAGAGGCGTGGTTGGTTGCGGGTGCATAAATAATCATATTAAAAACATATGCTACATATCAAAAACATCACACTGGTTTCACATGATACACAAAACAACAATAAAAATAAACATTATCTATTGCACAATGGAGGTATCAGGTTACAAATACAGTATGAATGATGGTACCGGTGTGGAACGCACCACTCTAAGCAGTACACTGCAGATGGACTGGGGGAGGGAGGTGGACAGGAACACATGAAGAACAGATGGAGGGTCACAGTTCACACCAGGGTGGGTATCAAGTATCAACATTTTCTGGTACCGACTGAAATGTGTCTGTAGCAGAGAGTGTCAAAAAGTACAATAAGATGGCATCAAATAAATACTGGGTCAGATTTATAATATTTTAACTTACACCTGGATTAAACAGTTTCTGATTTATTTGCCTAATTTTAGACTAATTTACATTAAAAAATTTAAAACATAGGCTTATTTTTAAAACAAAAGATAAAGTATTGTTTGGTGTATGTACTGGAACTCAGGTATCGTATCCCCGCTAGAGTCAGAAAGTTCCAAATGATACCCAGCCCTAGCTCCGAGTGTGTTAACGTGGACACAGCTTTTCTATTTGAATGTTAAGTTCCTTCTTGACTTTAGAAAAAAGTTTTTATAAATAGCTTTTTCCTGAGCTTTCAACTGTGAAATGTGTGTGGTTGAAAGCTCCAGAAAAGAGTCCACCTCAAGTTTTCTAATATTCAAGTACTTTCTGCTTCTGGGAGGTACTACAGGCAGCATTGGGCTTTTTCTATGAAGCCCTCTGCTTCCTGGACGTTGCTATTTATACTGTGTGAAAATATCACAAGTTGCCTAAACCCCCTCCAAGAGCAGAAGGTACCATAGCATCCTGTGACACTCAGATCTATTCTAAATGATAGATTTCTGTCCACGTCTCATAAAGTGGTTTTCTTTCTAACTGCAGCTGAGCCATCTGGCTGTGGTTTAAACACCACAAACACACTGAGACCAAACTGAAGTGGACACTTTGAATATTAGTAGCTTCTTTTTGCTGTGCAAGCTTCTTGTCACATTGTTGTGACCAAGTTGGCGGCACTTTAGTTAACTGGATATGACATTGTTAACGATGGCTTTCCATATTAAACTAAAGTTTAACAGTTGGCAGTTAGCAGCAGGTTATGTAATGTTAATGTTAGCATTAACAAACCACTAAAAACTAGTGCCCAGCTGTTTCAGGATAGAATGAGCCTTTTGGGGTTTTTTTGATTGTTGCGTCTTCAGTACAGTGTCAAGATTTGACAACAAGCTAGCTTGTAAGCTGATAGCTAATAGCACCCTTTGGTTTCAATGAGGAATTAAAACTGATGGGATGAAGTTCTTCATCTAGTAACATTCTCTCTACAGTGTGACAGCAGCACAGCAAATATTCAAAATGTCAACATGTTTTATGGCTCAGAAGTAGATAGAAACTG